TGGACAGATGTTTTCTGAGCCTGATTCACTGGTGTCACTCATTCATTCATTGGACAGATGTTTTCTGAGCCTGATTCACTGGTGTCACTCATTCACTCATTGGATAGATCTTCTCTGAGAGCCTGATTCACTGGTTTCATTCATTCATTCATTGGACAGATGTTTTCGGAGCCTGATTCACTGGTCTCGTTCATTCATTCACTGGGCAGATATTTACTGAGCTCCTTCTCTGTGTTAGGCCCTGAGCTAGGCATAAGGTGGGGAGCAAGATGAGCAGCCCTCTCCCCTTGGGGTGCTTGTGACCTCGTGGGGTTCAGACCACACACAGTGCCACTACAACCCAGAAGGCTCAGAGCCAAGTCTTAGGGGGAGCCAGGTTCATGTGGGAGCCCACTCCTGGACTTGGGTTTGTGCTTGAGGACTTCTGTGGGGTGCGTAGGGTGAACAGGAGGCAGCCACGTTGGAGAGGGGCAGAGGGTGTTCAAGAACAGGGAGCCAAACACCCGGAGCTGAGAGATGCGAGTGACAGAGAGCCCTGGTGGTTTAGTGGTTAAAGCGTTCAGCTGCTCACCAAAAGGCTGCTCATCAAACCCAACAGCAGCCACTTGGGGAAAAGATGCTTCCGTAAAGACAACACCCTTGGGGACCTCGGAGAGTCCCTCACTCTGAGTGAGAGCCGACTCGGCAGTGATGGCTTTGGTGTCTGGGTCTTGGGCCCCACGACAGGAAATGAGAGCCAGCACCACTTAAACAACTCATTGCCACCGACCCTGACCTACAGGACAGAGCAGAACTGCCCCTGGGGATCTCCCAGGCTGTAACTCTTTACGGGAGCAGACAGCCCCATCTTTCCCCTGAAGAGCAGCTGGTGGGTTTGAACTGCCGACTTTTCGGTTCACCGTCCCACTCGTGCATAGCCCACTGCACCACCAGGACTCCTAAAAGGCATCCGGTGGGCTCATTTCCCACAGGTCTCCATTCACCTGGCTGTAAGGCACCTACTGGGTGCTCGTGCGTTGTGGGGTCCCGGCCGGGAGGGTGAGACAAGAGAGTTTTTAGAGTTTTGACAATTCAGGGTGGGGTGGACGGTTCCCACTTGCAGAGAGCCCAGGAGAGGAGGGCATGGAAGGCTGACGGGAGCCTCTCTGTGCCATGACAGGGGCTGGCAAGGGTTGGGGCTCTCCATCTGGGGCCTTTGTGTGCACCCAGGCCACGCCAGTCCCCATCAGAGCCGCAGTCTCCCCACCCATTTCCTGAATGCCCCCAAACACCCCCGTCCTTAAGGGGCTGCTGTGGGGATTTAGGGAGACGGCGCCTGGAGATGCTCCCCATCTCCAGGAAGTCTTCCAGAACAGCCCCCGGCCCCTGCTGCCTCCTCAGAACTTACCATCCTAGGGCTCTGGCAAGCAGCCACCGCTGCCTGGTGGCAGCAAGCCGTGTGGTTGGCACCAAGGGAGGACTCGGTATTTGTCAAACCAAACCAGCGTGGGACGGTCACCCCCACCCCCGTGTGTGACTGTCTCTCCTGTTCACTGAGACGGGCCTCCTGCCCAGCACCTCTGACCCCACACCCCAAACCCAACTGAGAGAGCAGATCAGCCCCCGCTTCTACACCCCTCAATAGCCCCCACTTCCTTCGATGGTTCTCCTGCCCCTCCCTGAGAAGGGATTTATACCCAGCGATGAGCAGCCCTATATAGTAAGCATTCTGTCTCCAGAAAAGGAACCCTAGTACTGGTGTAGCAGCTATGCATTGGGCTGCTGAGCTCAACGTTAGCAGTTCGAAACCACTTTCCATCCCCGTAAAGAGCAACCCCCTAGGGCAGTTCTGTGCTGCCCTGTAAGGTCACTATGAGTCAGACTTGACACAATGGCAGCCAGTGAGTGTGTGCGTGCAGCCTCGGTGGCAGAGTGGGCACCAAGGTCAGCAGTTTGAACCCACCG